GGTCATTATTCAGTGTGTTAGAGCTATCATCAAAATATAGGTAATGAATAACAATTGTTTGTGAGGATGTGAAAAAATTGGAACCCTCATACACCCTTAGGGGGAATGTAAATGGTAAACAAATGGTTAAACTTATAGTTACCCAGTAATTCCACTCTTAGGTAGATACCCAAGAGAAATGAAAACATCTTCCACGTGAAGATTTGTACACAAACGTTCATAGCAGCATTATTTGTAACAGGCAAAAGGTGGAAACAACCCAAATGTCCATCAATGATGAACGGATAAATAAATTATATTATTAACATATCCATATAATAAAATATTATTCAGCAATGAAAAAGAAAGAAAGTACTGATTCATGCTACAACACGGATGAACCTCAAAAACACTATGCTAAGTTAAAGAAGCCAGTCATAAAGGACCACATATTGTACGATTCCACTTACATGACATGTCCAAAATAGGCAAATCTACAGAATCAGAAAGTAGATTCATAGTTGCTGAGGGCTGGTGGAGCAGAGAAGGGTGGGAATTAGAAAGTAATGCATGTGAGGTAAAGGGGTTTCTTTTTGTGATAATGAAAATGTTCTAAAATTGTGGCAATGGATGCACAACTCTGGGAATGTATTACAAACCATTAAACTGTACGTTTTGGGTGAATTCAATAGTATGTGAATGCTATCTCAATAAAGTTGTTAAAAAAAAAGTGCATGGTCTTAAATTGTCTAACTTCAAAATAGTGTTTGCACACACAAAGTGATTGTACATTGCTAAGAAAATAGACTGACATCCAAGTGAAAGTACAGGCTCAGATTTCCACATTGAGGCATCCAGGTTGGCCAAGTGAAGATATGAGCTTCCCAAGGGCTGTAGTCAGTCCCCAAAAAGCACCCCCAAAATTTTTGTCTCCTGGCATTCTCAGGGTTGGTTTGTCTGAGCAATAAAATGTGGCAGAAATTATGGTATGTCTCTTCCATGATTAAGTTAAAAAAGACTTTGTGGCTTTTATTTGAGTGTTTATGCTTTAATTGGATTTTTAAAAAGTAAATTGCAGTATGGTATTTTAATTTCCCATTCTTTTATCTGCTTTTATTCTTTTATCTTATTGTTTGACTGTTCTGAGCAGAAATTCTGATAACTTAATCAAGAGACCTGATGTTCTGTAAACTTTATCAGTGTTATTCACTGAGAGCCACTTAGAAGGTTTTAGCTTAAAAATTCCATCCAAAAAATTACAATTGATATGTGGAAACCACTGTAATAAAACCAGTTCCTACCGTTACATTGCTACAATTATTGAGTTGCCTTGTATATTCTAAGACTAATACACTCATTATAGTAGGTGGAGAAATTGTATCTTTAATGATATACTTTTTTCCAAGAAAGACTTGCAAAAGGGTTGGGTAAGTTTGGAGGTATACCAGGTAGGAAAATGTCCTCTCCCTCCCCTCTGTCACACCTAAGTCCATCTTCACAGTGATCTTACCACATAAAAGCTAAATAAACGTGTTATTCAGAAGTAAAGCAAATAGTATTCATGTCAATGATCATAGTAACTCACAATTAAAACATTTAACTTATCAAGGAGTTCCTGGCAAAGGAATGGCCTAGAAAAGTGTGGTCTATACAATTTCAGATATATGTATGAAATTTTTTAAAAAAGAAAAGGAGAAATGTCCATTTACACATTTCGTATCATGTGAAAATTCAGCCATAGCCAATGGTGGAAGCCCCCAGTCTACATGACTTGCTCACCATCAGGTATATGACCCAGTAAGAATGGTTAGATGAGCAGTGAGTAGTCACAGAGAGTTCCTTTTTAATGGATGCCTGTGATGCAAATATCAAAGGTAGATTCATTTTTTAATTCATTTAAAAAATATTCATGAGCACCTCTTATCATGGATATGCTTCAAATTTTGGCTCCTGTAATATTTATTTCCAAATTTTAAGGCATGACAGGATATATTTAAGGACTCTTTCCTTGGAAAACATATCTTTATGAGAGTTATTAATGATTTGGGTCAATTTACATCATATGTAAGTCTGAATGCATTTTTTTCCCAAAGGAAAGAGTGATTAACTTTACATTCTGTGGTCCTACCACTCTGTAGAAAGCAGTTCATTTCTGTCCTCCAACATAAATGAAGGACTTAGAAAGATTATGGTTGAATCTCTCTTTCAGATGAAAAGAAAAGAAACTTCCAAGTTTAGAAAAGAAACATACATAGTTAGACATTAAGAAATTTATTTCTAATGAGTAGGCTTATTAATTTTTAAAGGGTAATTTTGCATATCGTGTGTTATACTGTGCTTTTCCATCAAGCACCTGCCAGTGTGTAACTATTAGGTTGGTGCAAAAGTAATTGTGGTAAATTTTAAGTCATTATAACTAGGCTCAAACACATCTTTATTAATCAAGATAGGAACCATTACAATCAACACGTTGTTGCCGAGATATGTTTGTTTACTCCTGTAGTGTAAAAATCCATGCTTCAGGATTCGATGAGCTCTTGGAAAGTATTTTCTGCATCCTGCTGGCTGTGGAAGCATTTTCCCTGCACGAAGTTGTTGAGATACTTGAAGAAGTGGTAGTGGGTTGGCGAGAGGTCAGGTGAATATGGCGGATGAGGCAAAACTTCATAGCCCAATTCGTTCAACTTTTGAAGCGTGTGGTTAGGCGTTGCTGTGGAGAAGAATTGGGCCCTTTCTGTTAACCAATGCTGGCTGCAGACGTTGCAGTTTTCGGTGCATCTCATCGATTTGCTGAGCACACTTCTGAGATGGAATAGTTTCACTGGGATTCAAAAAGGTGTAGTGGATCAGACCGGCAGCAGACCACCAAACAGTGACCATGATCTTTTTTTGGTGTAAGTTTGGCTTTGGGAAGTGCTTTGGAGCTTCTTCTCAGTCCAGCCACTGAGCTGGTCATAGCTGGTTGTCATAGAAAATCCACTTTTCATGGCACAACACAATCTAATCCAGCAATGGTTCGTTAGTGTTGTGTACAATGAGAGAAGATGACACTTCAAAACAACGATGTTTTTGATTTTCAGTCAGCTCATGAGGCACCCACTTACCGAGCTTTTTCACCTTTCCAATTTGCTTCAAATGCCAAATGACCGTAGAATGGTCGACGTTGAGGTCTTCAGCAACTTCTCTTGTAGTTGTAAGAGGATCAGCTTCGATGATTGTTCTCAGTTATTGTCAACTTATGATGGCCTACTACTGCGCTCCTTATCTTCAAGGCTCTCGTCTTCTTTAAAAAAATTTCTTGAACCACCACTGCACTGTACATTTGTTAGCAGTTCCTGGGCCAAATGTGTTGTTGATGTTGTGAGTTGTCTGTGCTGCTTTACAACCCATTTTCAACTCAAATAAGAAAATCATTCAAATTTGCTTTTGCTTAACATCATTTCCATAGTCTAAAATAAATATAAACAGCAAGTAATAAGTCATTAGAAAAAACATACAGCGAGAAATGTGCATTAAAATGATGTATAACATAATCGCATTTATTGAAGAATGTATTCCAATATCAAATGGCAAATTTTAACAATGCTAAAACCACAATTGCTTTTGCACCAAACTAATATGTGTTTGTTTGAATGATGTTCTGGCTGGCTAGATCTAAGCTCCACAAAGACCAGGACCATGACTCAAGGTAATTGTGTCTTTGATGCTTCCATGAGTTCCTGGTACATATTAATAGTTGGTGTTCAAAAATTTGGGTTGAGCCAGGTGCAGTGGCTCACACCTGTAGTCCTAGCACTCTGGGAGGGCGAGGCAGGAGGATTGCTTGAGCTCAGGAGTTCCAGAGCAGCCTGAGCAAGGGCAAGACCCCATCTCTACTAAAAATAAAAAAATTAGCCCAGCGTGGTGGCATGCGCCTGTAGTCCCAGCTACTTGGCAGGCTGAGGCAGGAGGATCCCTTGAGACCAGAAGTTGGAGGTTGCAGTGAGCTACAATGACACCACTGCACTCTACTGAGGGCAACAGAGCGAGACTCGTGTCTCAAAAAAAAAAAAAAAAAAATTTGGGTTGAATGAGTAAATGAATGAAAGACCCTAAAAGTAGACAATTTTATGGAAGAGTGTAAAAAGTGATTTAGAAGGACTTATTTATATTCTGGAATCAAAACTGTAGAAAATTTCAAAAATGAAAGTGAAAAATATGAATTCCTTTTGGGGAGCCATTCCAAGTATCTTTGTAGGCAAGATGTGCCCTGCCCGATTTGCAAACCCGAGTGTGTGGGTTCATACGTGCAAATGAGCTTGCTCTATACCTGAGGCAGCATGAGGCAGGCTGCAGAGTCCGAGCTATGACAGTGAGTCAGCCCTGAGTACACTACGGACTCACTGATTACCAGGTGGCCTGTCAGGCTTATCACAAAGACAGTAGTAGCATAGTGACTGTGCCTGTCTGAGTTCCGGCTACATCTGTATGACCACCTCTGTTCACGGCACCACAGACAGCACTTTTCCATAGAAACTCAACTACTGACTGAGACCAGTGGCCCCTACTCCAAGTGAGGCAGCATGCTCATGAAGTTCCCATTACAGAGAGAAAGCTTAGGATCAAGTGGATCACAGCCACAGCCATAAAGCTAAGGGGTAGAAGGGAGTTAGTGAAAACAAACAAGAAAGGGAACTCCTGGTGACGAGAATCAAGTAGGATTCATGGGTCACCTCCCCAGTAGCATTAAGTATTGGTAGTATCATACTCAAGCCTGTATCAATAAAGTGGCTCAACTTTGGTGATATATTCGATGAGAGGTTTTCAATTCTGTTTCTGCTAAGATTTTAAAATCTGGTAAGATGGAAAGAACCTCAAGGCACAGTAATTTCTAGAAATAAGGGTAAATTTATGTTTCTGTTCTCTCTGTGTCAGACACAACCCCAGTTCAACCAATAAAATACCTGTTACGCATTTTGAATTACAATTTAAGATATGAGCAAAAAAAGGTAATAAATTTTTTTTTAAAAAAAGCAGCCTACCCACAACGTGTTCCATTTGTCATGTTCTGGTTGAAGGAGCTGTTGATCCATACTATGGTATTATTCACACATGCTTTTCCTGGAATGTTGAGTTCTTGCAATTCAGTGTCATATTCGATAAAAACATCCATCATTGTGCCAAAAATGAGCAGCGTTCCTGGCTGGGCTATTCCATGGAGAAATGCACATAAACCTCCCACAAGCATCAGCCCAATTTCAGCTGATGAAGAAAACTGAAACTTAAAAAACAAAGGGTTCAGAAATCATCTATGGGTGAAAAGCAGGAGAGGCAGGAGGACTATTTAATTTTAGTTACTAGATTCTGATAAATAGTACTCAACACACATTTTATGGAAATCATCTTAATTGAGCGGTAGTTTACACTAATTATATTGAAATAAACTGTACATCAAATATCTAAAACATTAGACTCTTACATTGTTAGATCATGCTCTGAATTCATTCCTTCTACCTCAGGAGCCGACTGTAGTTTTTAATTACTCATCCATAACTCAAGGGGAAAATAGTCACTGTCACTGACGCCATTGTCAAGGAGATATACTGTGTGGGGCATTCAGCAACCGCATAAACTGGCTCCCAGAATAATGACAATGAATAGTGCCTATTTGTGCCTAGAAATGCCTCCACCCTGAGCAAATTTGGGGTAAATACCTATACTATGGAATTTCTAAAGACTTGTCCTAAGAATAAGTATACAACATATGATTATTATGATGATTTTCCTTGCAAAAATGAAAATTACGGGCTTAGTGATTATTTTCCAGGACATTTTTCCAGGACAGGATTTGTGTGTTTACTCAGCAATGTATTTGTAATAGTTATTCAACACGTTATCACACAGGCAAAACTTATGACTGAAAAAGTGATCATCACTGTAGTTAAAAACCTGCCAATATGACTAAAGATTTAGTACTTCCTCCGTGATCTAAGCAATTCACAGCTGCACATCTGGTAACATAAATCAGCACAGTTTTATTACCAACTGAAAGAAGCCAACTCGAATGCCATCATCTTTCTTCTCATTTTGTAACCTGAGGAGAAAAACAAGGATTTAAAAACCATCCTCTCCAAAACAATGAGAAATTCTCCCCAGGTGGTGATTTTACGATTTATTCCTTAGTAAGAAAGAAAGTCCCCACTGGCTGGGAAATTCTGGCCAAACCCTATATTTTAAAAGTAAGCTTTTATTTTCTAGATTTCCCTCTTCTAGAGATTTCTGTATAGCTGTATCTCAGGTTCAGTAGAAATTCACTGAGGTTTTTTCTGAGAGGTATGTAGAGATAGTAAAAAGTCCTCTGCACTCCCAGTTACACGAACAAGTAACTATTTGCCCTCAGCCATGACCCTCAGCCTATTAGTGCCTATATGTTCTCGTGAGTAAGTTGAAGTGGTTGGATTAGCTGACTTTAAAGCTTCCTTGTAGCACTTAAAAATTTTACGTCTCCATTAAATAGAGCTAATATAATGGGAAATTCAAGAACACTCCCATACTGCCCATATTTCCTATTCATTTCTCATAAGGTTGTGTTTAACCACCTTTGACCTCTTCAACTTCAGGGATCTACACTTCACCTGAGTCACCCATTCCATGGATACACCCTGGACCCTGCTGTCACCAGGAACTACCGAGTGACACGTTTAGTTCCATTGCACTCTGTGACTGCCCAGACAGCTTGTTTTCTCACTTGCTTCCTCATTCCACACCTATTTGTCAACCTCAACTGAGAGCTGCAGTCCCTTAAATCCTCCATTTCCTTCCATAGCTAAACCCTTTCAAGATCTGCTTCCTTCCCCATGCACCCCAGGCCCCGCTGCGCGGCACTTGAAGCACACTCTCATTATCACCCTCTTCAATCCTTTTCCCCAAATCCATCCTAGTAAACTCCATCTCTGCATCCATCCAGCTGTTTGCCCCTGTCCTCCTTAAGCTGGGCTGCTGGAGATAACTTCACTGCCTTGTGAACACATGCAGTACCTGGTACTCAGCTGCACTAAGCTTCCCTGCCAGCCTGGGATAGAATCCCAAGTCCTTTCTGAGACGCTGCCCAGTGGCCAGGTTAGCCTCTGACCTGTCTCCTCCTCCTGCATTCCAGCTGTCAACACGCCAGTTGCCCAGCCTCCCACCGACCTGTGTCCATGACCTCTGTGTGGAGCTGCCAGACCCTCTGCCTGGAATGCTATCTCTTCACATATGCACAGGGCCAGCTCCCTCGCCACCTTTAGGCCTTCCCTCGAAGTCGCCTTCTCTACAGGCCCTCTCCTGGCCAAAGTCTTTAAAATTTTAACTTTCCCCATACATACACACCATTTCGTATCTCCATTTCTATGTTTACTTTTTCTTCTTAGAAAGAAAGTGCTTGATTATCACCAGCTACCATGTTATGCTTTGTGTTTATTAATATTTATGGTGTTTATTATCTCTCCCTCACTCAAATATAAGCTCCTCAAAGGCAGAGATTGTTGCCTATTCTGTTCTTATCTGCACCCTCAGCCACGTGTAATAGTGCCTGACCCTAACAGGCACTCAGTCCATATTTGTGAAATGAATGAATAATTGAATGAATGTGTGCTCTCCAGCCCAGGGCACAACGCTGTCCTCCGTCCCTCTACAGGTCGTCCCGGTTCCCCTCAGCAGCTTTGGCGAACTTCTGCTG